AAGTGAGGAAAAAAAGGAAGTCAGTAAACCAAGCTCAACATAAGCTCATCACATACCTTTGCTAGGGCAATAGCTCAACTTAGAGATCATCTGCCACATGGAAAAGGCAGCCAAAAATAAGGTCACCAAGGAGGTGTTTGTGAATATGAAACCACCATGATAGCTACATGCACCTTTTAGCAAAAGAAGCTAAGGTTTCCCAAATCACTTGATGAAGAATAGCCTGAAACAGAGGCCGTTCAGAGCAAAACCTAATGTGGCACGGACAGGAGAGCAATGTAAGTGGCACCACCGCACCTTTCTTCCTCCTCTTTTCTTCTTTCCTCCTCTTGTCTCCGCTTCTCCTCCAGTCGCTCCCTGTAAACACGTCGAGCAAGCTGGCCTCGCCGCTGCTTCTGAAGGATTATGGCTGCTTTCTTCAGGCAGAGGAACCTTTTCCTACCGCAGAATGCTCTGTAGTTCTTCTGTATGACAACCACATAGTAGAGAACCTTTCTGTACTGCTTTCTGGGAGGAAAAAAAAGAAAAAAGCAAATTTCTGAGAAAACAAGGAACTAACGAGCAGTCGTGAGAGGTCTTGCCATGGTGACCTGCAATAATGAGCCCATGGTAGTAAAACAGTTTATTTTTTCTAGCTCTGTGATTGTGTCCCCATTCTCATTCGCATTTTCCTTCCTAGGAGAGGAAAGAGATTCTCTCATTTCTATGACAGTGCCGTCTGTGTCTGATTAAGGAAATGCACATTACTTGTCTTACGTGTTCTTATGGCCCTGACAAAGAGATGCTAAAAAGGACAGCTCTGTGTGTGTGAGCACATGCAGAGAAATAATATACATAGATAGTCACCCCATATCTCTGAAAAGGAAGATCATGAACAGCGGGATAGCTCTGTCATTATAAAAGGAATGTAGTTTTTAAGTAACACACTGGCCAGAACATAAGGACAGGACTAATATACACATGAAGAGAAATTACCTCATTATGCAAACAAGTTTCCTTAAACTGTCCTCAACTGATTTGTAGAAAAAGCAGAGAAAGAAACAGATGGGATGAGCAATTCCACCTAATACATAATGCATGAGGCTAGGTAAACAAGCTAGACATTAATCAGCTACCTAATGCCATGGTTCTTTAAGGACCAAACTGATCAGTTTTATTTGCCTTCTCTTCTTACCATGACAAAGCAAAGACAAAGCTGAATCTCAGCTGGTAACTTGGGGCAGCCCCACTAGGTGCCATCCAGCTAGAGTTCCTACCATGAATCTAATGCCATGATACAATTACATGAATACTGGCTGAGCTCCAAACTTCCATACTGTCCTATTCATTACATTAAAACAATTCAAACTCCATTTTGTTTTATTCATGATTCTGGCAAAGATACCAGCTGGTATCTTCAAAAGCTACTTACAGGATTTGGATGCCTGGTCCCTAGGAAAGGTTAAAAATTGTGCCAAAAGGATTTAACTCCGTGACACCCCACCCATTTATTCCAAAGCTTAATTATTAATATTCTCATCTACTCACTTACCGGGCTGCATAACCTAAGATGTGTGCTCGGATAATCATTGCTGCCTTGGTGATTTCCACCTCTCGCTGTTTTTCCAACTTGTGTTCCAGGGACTCGCGGAGAAACACCTGGACAAGAAAACTTCCAGCTTAACAACTTGCGGAGAGCACCGTGTATAAAGGACAGCCAGGGCGCTGCCGACGTCAGTCTGAGCAGCAAGCCCCAGCCTTGAATTCAGAGTCAAACATACTGTTTCCTCAACAGAAAATAAGACACCAAAATGTATTCCTCTTAAAAGAAAATACCTGCAGATGATCCTCTAGCTTTGGATTTCAGTGGGAAGCGCCTGATTACAGTAATGGAGATTTTAATTAGGAGCAGGGTTTTTCCAAAAGCAATGTTTATTACTGGATTCATCAAACAGCCTTTCCCACCAAAGACTAACTCAGGCCAAAGAAGTTGCAGGACTTAGCGTGAGCTTCCTGACTTGAGGGGCAGAGATACCACCCTGGTAATTTAGCTGTTTCACAGTAACACCAAGCTCCACACCCCCTTACTGAAGCCTCACTGCTTCCAATGACATTTCTACGTGCCTGCAGAAGGAAGCAGAAATGGGAGAGGTTTCATATTCGGGTTGACTCGCCGGAGTTTTCCTGTCGTTATACAGGGAGACGGCTGCCGGGGCGCGACACCCCACCGCAGCCACCCACCCTCCGGCAGACAGAGCGCTCCCCAGGCTCTCATCCGAGCACCGACCCGGATCATTTGCCCAGACTGCCTACTGCCTCTCAGAGGCAGCCTGAGCACATGCCATTGGCGTATATTGAGCTAGCCCAGCTTATTTTGCCTTAAATGAATGAAACTGCTTCTCCAGCCAAGCAGAGGCACGGGGGATGCGGCTCCCCTCTCCCCCCTGCCTTGTCCTCTGCTCTGCTTTTTGCTGCACACGCACAAAGTGGGGAGCTATCTCCCACCAGCGCTTTTTCCAGGTCTTCTCAACTTTTCCTTTCTGAAGGCTACGTCTGCTGGTATTGGCTACAGGGGGAAAAAGCCTGGCATGCTGCTGGCTGAGACGTGAGCAGCTGGCAATAGCCAGTTCAGCGACACTTTGATTAGCTGGGATGAGAGCCAGGCTGCGCACCACAACGTGGTGATGGGGGAAGTACGTGGGCAGTGTAGGCTCTGCTAAGGGAGGAG